ACCTAATCTAAATTTCTCCTTCAGTCATGCCCTCTTGTCTTAATGATATATCACTACATCTGTCCTGTCATGGTGTCTCACTTCTGTCGTGTAGGATTTCCCACCCATTTCCCATGCCTGCCTCTAAAATGATGCAGTCCTAAGACACCTAGAGATTAATATTGGAATGATGAAACTAATCAACTGGGTAGCAAATTAACGATGGAAAAGAAGGGCAGGAGCCAGAAGCCAGGCCTTCGCCATCTGAGTTTATGCACACTGCTTTGTCAGATTTGAAAGCACATGCATTAAAATTTCAATCAAGCAGGTGTCCCTGTCCACATAACTGATCCATCTCCCTGCCTTTATCCACTTCCCTGGATATTGCATCATGCATTGCCCCTGTCACCTTTTATTACTAGCATTGCTTCCTGCTGATTGGAAACATCAAGAGTCAGATTCAAATGCTGAGATTATTAATAAACATGCAATTGGGATCATTATTAAACTTGTGAGGTCTCAGAAATTCCCTTCCCCTCACCCCTCCCATTCTCTGATGTATTTTCAAGTGCTGTATTACTGTGTTTTGTACAGGAAAAGTGCAAAAGGATTTCTGCTTGGTGCTGCAATGCTGAGAGTAGTGGTGAAGTTCTTCTTCTAACAAAAGTATTGGCTATGGGGTAATTCCAGTTTTTCTCCCAGTCATTTTCAGTCTCAGCACATTCCTCACCTCATCACACACAGCAGTTTGGAATCAGCCTCATTTCAATGGTTTGGGCTTAGTTTCTTCAGCAAAAGATGTCAAAATCTCATGGAAATCAATGCTTTCACCAGTCCAGGGAACTTCTACTGCAAAAATGTCTTCTTTTCTGTAATCCATGTCCAGATACTGGATTAAGACAAATTAAGAAAATAAAATGAAGATGCCCTTCAGGTCTGACAATCCATTAATTTTAATCCTTGCCTGTTGGCTGCCCCAGTGGTAGGTCAGTTCCTTTATGAAGACGTGATTTGAAATTGTGATAACAAAATCAGTTGTAATAAATGCCATATGTTAAGAACATATACAGTCCTTATTTTTCATATAAAATGCAGGAGGAATATACCTTGTTTGCTTGCTATTTTTATAAAAATGTTTAGAGTTTTCTTAAATCTAAAAATATTTAAATAAAATATTTCTGTCCATTTGACTGTTATATAATTACAACAGCACATAATTAACACTTGGACAGATTAACTTAATTAAGAAGCTCCTAGTTATATATTTTTAAAAGGTTGCATTTACCATACCTGAAGAAAATTATTTCTTCTTTCTCTGTAATACTCCGTATCTGGTAGGTGGTTAGGTTTTTTGGCTAACTAAATCTAATCAGCAGTGCAAAAATCAGTCAAAAAAAGCAGTCAAGGTACCTTTAATACACTGAGACACACATACTCCTTGGTGATATAAGCCTGGCCAAGTGGCATCTCTTAAGCTTCTTGTAACTCTTTTTGGGGTGAAAAAGCAGGTCTTGGAGCATAAACAACAACATGGGTAACAGTAATTAATGACTGTGGTCTCTAAGCCCAGCTGGAAGTGTGAACTGAGGCGACATTTGTGTGAAACAGCAGCTCCTGCCTTCTGCTGATTTACAGAATCAGAGCCAGGGAATAAAAGGAACTTGAAGGGGTAAGGATGGGGTGATGAGAGAGGAGGAAGGAGGAACAAGGGATTCAGGAAAGTATTTTGGTGGAAGGGCATTCCAGAATCAGGACAGTAATGTTCCTGATACAATATATTTCCCTGGCTTTTCACTGGGAAAGATTGGATATGTCCCAGCTGAACTGCTTTCATTTGTGCAGGAGAGCAGTACCCTGGTCCCAAACCTGCTAACATAATTCAGGAAGGAGCAAACATATTACTCAGGAAAACAACCTATTCCAAATCTGTGTTTGTCTTTAAACTGCTGCAGGTGACAGCAGTTAAGCACTTTCTTGACTGGGGAGGTACACACATCCTTAGAAGCATACATAGATCTTAGATTTTGCTTGAATTTTTCCTGAATACAAGTTTTTTGTTTTATTAGTACTGTTACAATATCATGTGTGTAGCTTTACAAAGCAAAGATGAACCCAGCACAGAGAGAATGGAGAAGCAGAAAAATCAGAGCAAAACATGAAGATCATCAGTTCATGCTGATATCATATATCATCTGCAGAATTTTACTTAACATTTAAATTAAATTAATCCTCATTTTAGGTTGCTTAATTCTTGTGATCTTAACCTTAGCAACCCTTTCTTTCCTTTTTCATTCTGCTTTCCCATTGTAGTGAAACATGCAAAATTCTGATACAGAACAATCTGATTTCTTTGAAACCCTAAAGTCTGCTGACAAGACAGGTTAATGCTGATTTGTCAATAGCTCATATCTGATGCATGGAGAAAATGCAGATATAAGATAAAATGTGATGACTTAAGAGAAAGATTGAACTTAATCTGCTCTGTCTGGGTGTACAGACAGACATCTGAAGTTTCAAAGTGCTCTCTCAAAAACATTTCTCTAGACAACACATAATCTTTAGAGGTATTAAAATAATCAAGGAAAATATTGGGAAATTAAAAGTAGAATGGACTTAATATAGCTCAACCATATGCTACAGAATAGTATGAAGTGAGGTGGGATCCTTCTACAAGAATCATCACTTCAGGTGAGTATGGATCCTCTCTGGAATGTGCTAAAATAAGGGATATTTAAAATATAGACAAAAAAATTTATTACATACAGACTGGCTAACTATGCAGGTTGGAGTAGAAAAGATCCTTTGAATCCTAAAAAAGAAAATGCAGAATTAGCAGAGAAAAAAATCGCTTCAGCTGCTCCTCCCATCATCACTGCCCAGCATCACGTGTATTCTTACATCACATCACACACTGGTCATGAAAACACAGAAGCTTTCCCTGTGCCAGCCCTCTCCTATGTTGTCTACCCATGGGGTCTGTGGACAAACAATCGACTCACCAAAATTAATTTAATAGTTGAAACTACAAAATAAATTTTTTCTTTGGAAAGGTAAAGATTTTGTGGTAATAAATGCACCAGGTTTCACAACTAAAGGCCATAGATAAGGAAGTTCTCTCTCAAAAAGATGTCTTGAAAACCTGATCTGATGGATAAATTGACTGATTGGTCAATTATTCATTTTATGTGCAGCTTTGTTAAGAAAAGAACAGCAAATTCTTTGTCCTGTCAGCACTCAGTCTATTCTGACTCTTAGAGGGTTTAGGCACTTGACTCCTCTACAGCTGTTGGAAAACAGTAGCTGGAATCAAACCTGAGTGTTAAACACCTGCTGAGTATTTGGTACTTGCATAGTTCAGGGGAGGAATCTGGGCAGAAAAGCCCAGTTTCAAAAAGGAGCCACCACAGAAGTTGAATACTATTTTATGGGGAAGGAGCTATCTGACTTGGCTTCATTACAGATTCACACATTCAATCACACCAACATCACTTTTCAAATACCATCTCTTACAAATGGATGTTGTTAACTTTCCCCGACAGTAAAGGCACAGCATGTGATTTTCATCCATCAGAGGAAGCTTAATAAATCAACCAGTACATTACAGCTTCACGCCAAGTTAGCACCTTCATCATGGAATGAAATTAGCAAAGCAAATACACTGGCTAATTGTGAAATATGCTAATTACCAGCTCAACCCGTGAAATAAGGCATGAGTGATGTGTGACGAGCTTTGTACAGAGTCGTGAACGCTTGGAAATGCGACACTTAAATAAAGTCTAAAACTGCTTATGCAGAGAGAAAGGAGAACAGACAGGGCTAGGGAACAGGCATGGTGGAAAAATATTTTCATAAGAAGTTTGAAACCTTTTCGCTTCTGCTACTCTCATGGGATTATAGGCCAGGAGCAGGGAAAGGCACTGATAACAGGCTACAGACCATTTTCCATCTATTTCACACCAATCTGAATCTATTCAAGGTCATTACCAAAGAGAACTGAGCTACCAGTTTGGGATGAATTCACAAGTTGGCACAGTTTGACTTGAAGTCAACAGCGTGGTGGTTTTCCATTGGTAGAGATTTTGTTCTTTTATTTGATGAATTCAGACTCTTTTGCTCACCAACCAGGCACTGACAGTTGGGCTTTGCAAATGTCTTCATTTTTGAGAACAGGAAGATGATTCACCAGCCTAGGGCTTTCTCTGCCATTCACCTTGGCTCTTATGGAGACTCTTATTTTCATTTCTACACAAATCTCCTACTTGTGTTTTTGTACTTGTCTTCTAAATTATGTAGTGTTTTCTCTATTAAAACTCCTCCTCCCCAGATTTTCATCCTGCTACAGGAAGGGAAAAAGGCTCTGAGAGAAGGATAAAGTCTTACTGTGGTTCATCAACAAGGGAAGATTTAACAGATGCAGAGAATGAGCCATTTTATAAAGTTTTCCCTTTAGTGCTCAACAGTTCTTCCCCTCTGTTCTACTCTTGTGCAACCCCACCTCTGCAATACTGTGGGGCCCATGCACAAAACGGATGCTCACTTGCAGGAACGAGGCTAGAGGAGACCACCCATATGATCAAAGGGCTGTCTCTGCTGTGGGAAGTGGCTGAGTGAGTTGGGGTTGTTCAGCATGGAGAAGAGAAGGCGCTGGAGAGAACTTAAAGCCCATTCCTGTGCCTAAAATGGCTCAGTGAGAGCTGGATAGGGGCTTTTTGCAAGGGCATGCAGTGACAGAACAAGAGCAAGGGCAGGTTTGGATTAGATACTAGGATGAAATTCTTCTCTGTGAGGGTGGTAAGGGCTGGGCACAAACTGCCAACAGCAGCTGTGGCTGCCCCATCCCTGGAAGTGTCCAAGGCCAGGCTGGATGAGGCTTGAAGCAACTTGGGATAGTGGAAGGTGTTCCTGCCTATGGAAGGGGGTGGAACTAAATGATCCTTAAGGTCCCTTCTAATCCAAGCCATTCTGTGATTCCATGATTCCATGGTAACTGTTATCTCATCACCTCCTTCCATGGAGGTCATCTCACATGGTTTACTCACACACAGGGTTGAAGTTCAGAGTCAAGCCTTCAGAGGCTCTGAAAATGTCTGAAAATGTCCTTAATTTTGACTTTTGAGTATGGGATTAAGCCTTATTCTGCAAAAAACAAGAAAATTCTCTATCTTTGAATTCAGAAAATAAGCACCTGGAACATTCCCAGCTATCCGTTAGATTCTCATAAATTCTCATGCGAGATTTTTTTAGAGAGATCACCTGAAAAAAAGTAGTAACTCGAGGATCACTTTCATTTACACAGCACAGTGCTGCTGCCAGAACGTCCTATCCCCAGCTTTTTACACTCCCACCCTCCCTCATGCCAACATGTGTGTGATGGGCAATAGATTGCAAACTGCAGTCAAACTGCAGCAGCTCTTTGCCTCCAGAAACCACAGAACAAAATAATGTGTGACCAGGGTAAGTGGAAAGTAGCTTGAAAGTTGTGTGAGGGGAGGCTTAAGTTCAATATTAGGAAAAAGTTCTTCACCCTAGGGCATGGTTGGGCACTGGCATAGGTTCTCCAGGGAAGTGGTCATAGCCCAAGGCTGCCGGAGCTCAAGAAGTGTTTTTACAACGCTCTCAGGCACATGGTGGGATTTGGAGTGTCCTGTACTAGGCCAGGAGTGGGAATCAATGATCCTTGTGGGTCTCTTCTAACTGAGCACATTCTATAAATCTATGGGTCTATGAAACCTGTAGGGTTTCTAACTAGGCAGTCTGAGAGGCAGAACTCTGGCAGAAGTCAATTGCTGGCTTATCCCAGCACAGAATGGTTCAGGCTGGAAGGGACCACAGTGGCTCATCTGGTCCAACCCCCTGGCTCAAGCAGGGTCATCCTAGAGCACAGGGCACAGGATTGTGTCCAGACAATTCTGGAATATCCCCAGTGAGGAGACTCCACAGCCTCTCTGGACAATCCGTTCAGTGCTCAGTCACTGCACAGGAAATTTCTTCCTCCTGTCCAGGTGGAACTCACTGGGATCAGTCCCTGCCCGTTCCTCTGGTGCCATTGCTGGGTCCCAGAGCAGAGCCTGGGCCCTGCTCTGCCCCTCCCTGCTCACAGGGACACCCAGGGCTGAGGGTCCCTCTCAGCTGTGCCTCCTCTGGAGGCTGAACAGCCCCAGCTCCCTCAGCCTTTCCTCAGCAGGGAGATGCTCCAGTCCCTTCATCATCTTTGCCACCCTCCACTGGACCCACTCCAGGAGCTCCATGTCTCTCTTGTCCTGAGGAGCCCAGAACTGGACACAGCAGCCCAGATGTGCCTCAGCAGGGCAGAGCAGAGGGGCAGCATCACCTCCCTTAGTCTGATGGGACACAGCTAACAGGATTTTATAAAGTGTCTTTCACAGAGTCCCATGCAATGTTGGCAGCAAATAAAACCCAGTTTTTAATTATTTTTTGGCAAGATCATTTACATTTTGCTTCCTGTGGGATTTATTGTGGCTGCAGAGCAAGGAGCACTTAAGATAAACATACACGAGTTTAGAGAATGGAAGAACTAGTTCCCAATTATTTTTTTTAATTATTGTTGCATCTTGAAGGATTAAATAACTGAGCCAATTTATCAAAAGTTTGCTGGTGGATCCCAACAAGAAGATGCCCCACCCCTGGAAGTGTTCAAGGCCAGGCTGGATGTGGCTCTGAACAACCTGGTTTAGAGCAAGCTCGTAGCAGGATGCTGGAATGAGATGAACTTTGGGAGCCCTTTCAACCCAAACCATTCTATGATTCTATGCCTCACCCTGTCATGAAAGGATATGGATGATGCTGTGTCGCCTCTATCACAGTACCAGTAGAATTAAGGTTGGAAAAGAACTTTAAGATCATGCAGCCAACTGCCCAGCTGGACCACCATCATGTTCACCATGAAACCAAGTCCTTAAGTGCTATATCCCCATATTGTTGAACACTTCCAGCAATGGCAACTCCCCAGCTTCTCTGGGCACTCTGCTCCAGTGCTTTACCACACTTTCTATAAATGTTTTTTTCCTAATATCCAACCTAAAACTCCCCTGTCACAACTTGTGGCCTCTTCCTCTCTTTCTGGTCCTTGTTCCCTGAGAGAAGAGATTGACCCTCACCTGGCTGTCCCCTCCTGTCAGGGAGTTGTGCAGAGCCAGAATATTCCCCCCGAGCCTCCTTTTCTCCAGGCTGGGCCCCCCCATCTCCCTCAGCTGCTCCAGCTCCTTCCCCAGCTCCGTTCCCTTCCCTGGACATGCTCCAGCCCCTCAATGACATTCAGGGGAAGAGAAATGAGATTTCAAACTCTTCTAAATTGTGGAATTAGACTTTATTAACCTAATTTTCTTCTCATTTGCTGGTGGCCTGAATCAGTCACTAAAGTCATGCCTGCATGAAGCTGATCACTCTGACAGGAGACTCAGGCGTGAGATTTCAGCATTTGGAATTTTAGGTGTATAAGAGATGTGGGGGGTAGGAGCAGGATGATGTAAGGGGACCCAGTGTATTTAGAGGAACTTACATGTTCCTCAGTGCATTTCCCTTGACAGTTTGCAGAAATACAGTGAGTCAGCTGTCATCATATAATATATTAGTATAAAACAGTGTAAAAAGGGACAATATGCTTAGGCACTGATTGAAGAGAAGAGGGGAAAGGATAAAAACTCCAAACAACCAAGCTCTTTGTTAGTGAAAGGGAATTGTGTGAAAGTTTGGAAATGTGCCTCCGCTCAACTTCAGGAATTAGTTTTCAATTAGTTGGAAGTATTTTCATTCCGGCTGCAAACCAGCCCAAAGACCACCTGCTGTGAAATAAGGGAGCACAGACCAGCGGTTATTATAGCAATAGCCATAAGTTTATTGCTTATTGGTACTAAACTTAAATTTTAGTAATTTTGAATTACTGAGTTAGCTTAGATTTATGGAGATGCAGGATCATTTAGAACTGCAGTCATTCCAGAAGGGTATATTATCTAAACCAATTTTCTTATAGAGCTGCAGTTGCAATACCATAGTTATGGTTGTATGGTTGTATCAGCCTTTCCATTATAATCTCCTATTTTCAGGGGCTTGTAATTTGACCATAAAAATTCACTCCTTGCTGAAATGTGGCATACAAGGTCTGAGATGAACGTTTGTTTTTTTGGGTTTTTTTTTTGGTTTTTTTTTCCAAAATTTAAAGAAAAAAAAATTAGGTCTTTTCAGCCACTTCTAATGGTCCAAATCTACCAACAAGAAAAGCGACCAAGCAGAAGTTGGCTGTTTGACATCCTTCAGTGTCCTTTTACCATAATTCAGAGGAGACTCTTCTTGGCAGTTAGAGCATGGCAAATTCTAGTGGAAGGTGTCCCTGCCCATGGCAGGTGAATTTTAAAGTGACTTCCAAGCAACTTTTTAAGACTTTTTAGATGAAAAAGATGGCTTCAACTTTAAAAAGCTTTAGAAAGTGAAACAGTTCATGGAAATCATGGGACTTAAGAAAACACCTCCTTTTTTGCTCTTTTAGAAATGTTGATCAGAAGCATTATCAATCCTGTTCTACTAAAAAATTCCCATGACTGTAATCAAGCTAAATTATTAATGTTTACCCAAATTATTTCAACACTGATTCAATTTATTAATTTAAATTCTTATTTATTTATTAGCATTCCCTCATAAATCAGTAATGCTGATCCATTAGCTCAGCCTGCTCATTTCAGATGTCCCTCTCTATCCACTAGAAGGCACACCTTACATTCTGATTAATGTATTTACAAACTGGAGGCCTATTCTAAGCCACGTTTAAAAGAACCTCTATTTTTCCATCTGATCTTACAGTAATGCAGATAAGGTCTGACATTTCAACCAACACAAAATATTTTAGTTTTGGCTTTAGCATTAAATGAATCTAGCAATGATTATTTTGCCTCTGGCTGCTAATTGCTGCTGTGCAGTATTTGAAAAATACTTAAAACCATGGACTGTGTAAACATACAGCAAAGTTTGCCAAGTCACAGTTGGATGAAGCACCTGCACAGCAACTGCTTGGGAAAAGACTTTTCTTAATCTCATGGTGCATTTAGCTGCAACTGAGACTCTGGAAAATCACCCCTGTGCAAGCAGTTCCTTGAATTATGAGAAGGATTTGTATTTTTGTTTATGTCTCCTGTGGTTAATAGGCCATAGAAATGGAAGGTTTGGGTTAACCTCGGAAAGGACGTTGTACACTCCCATTCCTTGAGGGGTTTATCCAATGCTCAAGGAATTCAATGGCAAAATGCCCATTGATGGCAAAGAATTGAGATTAATCAACAATAATAATTAAAAACCCCCCACAGTGTATTGTATGCCTAAAAATCTGGACCTGGACATGATTTAGAAAGTGGAAATGACATGAGTCAGCATTAGACACACATTTCACATCTAAAATAAATGTCTCTGATAAGGAATAGGAATAGGTGTCAGCCCTAGATCTAAGGTAAAAATCCATGTCTGATTTATGTAAATCAGTATTTATTAATGTATAAAATAAAGTCCTTTTTCCATTATTGCGATTGTCATCTTTTTTAAAGCCTCTAAAACTGGCTTTTATTTAATCCTGTAATTATGAACAAAGATCCAAAAAGTTGAGGTAGCATAAAAAGATAGGGGTAACACCAGGATTTATTTCTGCTGGCATCTGGATCTTTGAGCTCAAGCATTTAAGCTTTTATGCTAGCCTAACAATTTACAGTGCTTACAGTTCACTTCATTCAGTTAGAATATCTCAAAAAACAAAATAGAAATGTTGTACAGGAAAGTATTCATCATCCACAGAGTCTTGAAAAGTTCTGCTAAACTGTGTGATCACAGAATTATAAAATCACTGAATGGGTAAGGTTGGAAAGGACCTTAAGAATCCTCCAGTTTCAACTCCCTGCCATGGCAGTGACACCTTCCACTGTCCCAGGTATCTCCAAGCCCCGTCCAATGTGGTCCTGAACACTTCCAGGGATGGAATTGATGTTTTGAAATAAATTTTTCTGTAGACTTAAATACATAACTTTAATCAAGCAAACTTGATAATCTTGTTTTAACACTGAGCTGGTAGAATATTTTACTGTTATCTTTTAAAGTTTGCATTATGGGCTTTATAATAAATATAATTAAACAGTTCTGTTATTGTATTTGTATTGGTGTCCTTGAGACTGGATAATTATCAAAAGTCAACTCTGATGACAGCATTTTTCTTAGAATAGAAAATATCAACTTTAGGTAAGGTCAAGGAACTATCACCTTTTATATCTAAAAAAAAAAAAAATCAAGGCTTGGAAGTATCCCAAATTGGTGGTATCCTTCAGATTTAGAAAATGAATTTTACATGCAATACAGTTATGTAGGGAAAATAAAAAAAGTATTAGATATTCAAAGAAGTTGGTTGGTCTTTCTAGATACCCCAGTATCTCAAAGGAGCAATTCAGGATTGTATCTCCCTTATTCAGAGGTTGTTTTGATGATAGCATGAGCAGAACTTCATCTTCAGTGGATTTTACTCTCAGTTTATGAAGTGACACCTCCATGGGAACCGAGAAGGAATTGTCCCCAGCAGGTGGAATTAGCCTGCACTTTCCTAATTCCATATAAAATTTATTGAATCCATATAAAATATATTGAACATTTAAGACTTCATGGGGATTTTTTATGTTCTCTCTGATGGCAGTGAGACAGAGGTGAATAACTCAAAATCAGAACTGACAGAAAAGTGCCTCTAAATCATGATAATTTTAAATTATCACACTTTTTTTCCCAATTGTGGTACAAAATGAGAGAGTGAAACAGCAAAGATTTTTTACTAGACAAAATAAAACAAAATAGATGCTATTTTGGATCAGGTCAAAAACAATGTTTGTTTTCATCCTTTTAAAGCATTTTGTTTCCAAAGCAGGTTTTTTTTTACACTTTCTTAAGTGGCAAGTTAACTCACAGTTTGGAATGCTCTTGAGATAGAAAAATCTTTGAAAATTATACTTTCTCACACACTGAAAAATTTGTTTCTGTGAAATTGGCATATTCTAATATTCTGCTGAGGGGAGAAAAATGAAAAGCATCAATTGGAAAATTTCTGGACATAATCACTAAAAATATATGGCTATTAGGATAGATGGCAGGAAAGGTTTGGATGGCAGTTTATCTTGTTGTTTTTTGACCCAGTTTTGGTTTGGTCACTGCCAGTGAGAGGACACTTGGCTTTGTCAATGTAGCTGTTTTGTTCAGGTATGCCATCTTCATTTCTAGAACTGCCTGCTGCCTTCTTCCCACATGGAAGATTTATCCACACATGCTTCTTGCTTCCTCAGCAAAACAGGGACCCAAATTCTCATGGATCTCACCTTTTCATGTCTGATGTCTTTTATTCTTGCTTTCCACATTGGGCGTGAACAAAAGTTTATATTTTATTTTATTTCATTCTAGTATT